ACAAAGTCAGTATCTTTTTTCCTGCAAAGCATACTCAATTTCAAAGCCCAACTAAATAAAATAAACTGAACTTTAAAAGCATGTCAGTCTACCTTGATGTCTATCGCTTTGGGCAGACCTCCCTTCTTGATCCAGGGGTGGACCTCCATCAGCTCCTTCTTCTGCACCTCTGAGAAGCGCGGCTGGCTCTTCTGCAGCAGCCTCAGCTTCTCTCTATCCTCTCTGAGCACTTTCTGTATGTCACTGTGGATACAGCAAACACGGCCACATTCAATACTTGATCTGAAACTGACATCCAACTAAACCTTTATGAAATACGCAACTAAAATACGTTGGATAATTTCTCAATGTTGGAAGATTCCTGACTGTGAAAACCCAGCGTTGATCTTTGTAATGATCTTGAGCTATTAAAGTGTTTGTAACTGCAACAGTGCTGAGAAACGTCTACCATGCTCATTCAGACACCTATTACCCACTGACTGTGTTAATGTAAAGATGCCATCTGGTGGTCATTAACTCTCACTGCGAACAGCTCCAGCGTGAGATCTGCTCACTGATTCTTGTTTAGAGAAGTTGACACACACACACATCATACAGGGCAGTAACAGCGTGTATGTGTTCTTATGAAACACACTTTTATTACATATCACCAATTCACAACAGAAGTTCTTTCATTGCACTTTTCATACAGCACAAGAAGTTAAGTCTTTTTGAGTAAAAAGGGCTATTAGTACATTTAGTGTTGCTGCCTGAAGCAAAACAGAACAAAATTGAGTGCAAATGGAGTGGCAGTAGGTTATGACATTTCTGCAGCCCACAGACAGGTTTCCTGGCGACTCCACTTTGGAGATGTGTATGCCGCCAGGGGGCAGAAAAGCACAGAGAAGAGCTACAGTGAAAGAAGTTGAGGGTGAGCCTGGCTGTTGTAGTAATCTGCAAGGTGAAGGCTCAATATACAGGGGGGGTCTCTCTTTCAGCACAGAATTACACAATATCTAGTGACTTATAAACACATGTTCTCTAATATGCATTCACTGGCTTCTGTCATATTGGTAGCACTTACATTACAGTCCTCTCCAAAAGTATTGGATCGGTAAGGCAAATTCCTTTGTTTTTGTTGTTCACTGAAGACATTTGGGTTTAAGATCAAAAGATGAGTATGAGACAAGAGTTCAGAATTTACATTACATTCATTCAGCTGATGCTTTTATCTAAAGCAACTTACAGTGGATTCGAACCCAGGTCTCTCATATCCACCCCAATTTCAGCTCTCATTTTGTGGTATTCACATGTGTGTGTTAAACATCTCAGGACATACCACCCTTTGTTTGAACCCACCCATTTTTCAAGTGAGCAAAACTATTGGAACATGTGACTGACAGATGTTTCTTGTTGCCCAGGTGTTGCCTTTCAGGTTGATTGTCCAAACATTAAATAGCTCCGCATGACTAGTTAAAGTTTTCATCCTTTGTTCAAACCTATAAAGACTGCATTTCCTGTTAAAGAGGATAAACCAACATGAAGACCAGAGAGCTGTCTATGGGAGAAAAGCCATTGACAAGCTGAGAAAAGAAGGAAAATCGACCAGAGCCATTGGACAAACATGGTAAGCACAACAATTTGGAATGTCCTGAAAAAGAAAGAAACTACTGGTGTACTGAGCAACAGACGTCCAACAACACATCTAGATGTGAATACCAGGAAATAAACGCTGAAATTCTGAACTCTTGTCTCATACTCATCTTTTGATCTTAAACCCAAATGTCTTCAGTGAACAACAAAAACAAAGGACTGTTCCAATACTTTTGGAGGGGACTATTTACTGTAGCCATGTGCAAGCACAGACACTAAAGACTTTTCTGATGCATGGACACATGCTGAAACCACAGACAGTGATAAACTCATGCTAAGAAATCCTACATATTGCAGGATTCACTGGCTGCACAGCACTCTACTTCACAATTTGAGGAAGAACAGTACATTGAACAACCAACCAAGAGGTATCTAAGCTCTTTTGTCCTGTAACAAAATTGTGTACTGCAAGTTATGGCAGGCTCTCTAGCGTTTAAGTTGCTGTAGAAAAGTTGGCGAAAGTGACGAGTGTCCTATACCAGTTTACTTCTAAAAAGATTTTTCCCTTGTCCTACAGCAAGTTGTGATATTTCTAAATGTAGACAATGTGGACAGATGAACACCTTTCTGATGTTTTCTGCCTCCTGGCTGCACACACTCCGTCTATAAACAGGAAACCTGTCTCTTAATGAGGAATAGAGGACTGTTTGCCTGAATGAATGCTTAGCCTTCTAACAAATACAGGGTAACTATCAAACTGTAATGTCTAAAGGGCCGCTGTCCTACTCCTCACTGGCTACGCCCCTGTCCTCCTACTCACCGCGAAGGCAGCCGGTAGGTCATCATGACCTTGTCATCTGTGTTAGCCATGAGCAGCCACAGCGGGTCCTGCAGTACATTTTTTAAGATGTATTTGCTCTGCTCCATCTCCACTGGCCTTCCCTTGCTGCTGTTCAAGTGACCACTGGCCTTCTGGCTGTACTGGGACGAGTCCACGCTGCCAAAGTAATTACTACTACTGTTGCTTCCTGAGAATACCCAAAGAGAACATTATTATTTATTAAAAGTTTGAAACAAAGATTTATTTTTACTACAAAAAACCCCCAAAACACAGTACCATTAAACATTGCACTATAGCTTATGTACAAAATTCTGAAAATATAATGTCTCAGGGTACGATCTGATACATTTCTGTACACATGCACTTCCATCTTGTGATATGGACTGTATATTGGTAGACCTGTGACTACAAACATCAACACTTATCACTAGGAATTGGATATTAAAATGAGAACAAAGCTGATTCTGTTCACTTTGGTGTTTTCCACTTTTCATACTGCTACCTGAATTGAAATTTTCCTGCTCATTTCCCCTTGAGGATGTGTGAATTTGACCTCATCTCATCATATCCACGAGATGTTGAAACACACCTGTTGCACTGCCAGAGGTCCCACTAGCCGAGGCTCCGCTGGCTGACGTCCTGCTCTTAGATGTCCCGCTGTTGGATGTCCCGCTGGCTGAAGTTCCACAGCCGTTGGACCCTGAGCCCATAGACCCCGAAGTGGCTGAGCCAGTGCCTGAGCAGGAGTCCTCATGGAGAATAATGTCCAACATGTCGCTGGATGAAGAGTTGGCATCACTGTTGTTCCCGTCGCCATGTGAGCTTGCCTGCAAAAACATCACAGCGGTACCATTAAAAGGGATCTTGACTTCACAGCTCTGGCCAACACTGACTGACCGACTGTAAATCTACTTCCTACATCTACTGCATTTTTAGAATACAGGCTGGTGCCGTTGAGACTTAACGGGGAGTATATTTCTACAGTGAACATAGAAAATTGTCCATCTCACCAATCACCTGGTATACAATGCCATCTGATAACAATTGCTAGCCATACAACACAGCTGAGCATAGTAAGAAACACGACAACGATCCTTATCCTTCTGCAGCTGATTCAAAATAGCGCAAATCAATAAATAGGAGCCTGTAAATTTAGGAGTTTAGGGGGGAAAAATCATTGCATTCATGTGTAATAGAACATAATTGTAGTTGTTCCTGGGACCTGGTCACATCTCAGTATAATACATAGAGAAAACAATGTTGCTCAACTGTTTACTTTTGATGCTAAAATTGGTTGTATGATTGTATGGTTTAAGCCTTGGTATGGTTCTTACATGCAAATCCACAGAGTGTATACATGTGTGCATACAGTCATGCATACAGTACAACTGTGTACTATAAACAAGGTTTTGATTTAACTTGGAAGAAACAAGTAGCTCAATAAATCACTTGTTTTTCATGTCAGATCTTTCTAAAATTTCTCAGTCTCGTGATTCAGTTAAAAATCAACTTCACTCAAAATATTTTACTTTATAGACAAGAACATTGCAAAGTTAAAGATACTAATCATAAGTCATGAAATGGAAAAAAAAAAAAAGTTATAACTGACATTTGGAATTGGGGAGAAATGGGATTGGAGAAGTGTGGAGGTTTTCTGATGATTTGCCTACCTCTTTGCTGCAAGCCCTCAGCCTAGAGCCCCATTTATGCCAAGACAAACGCTCACAGACACAGGACGTACCCTCGCAATACAAGGGTCCAGATGGACCAGGGAGATTGAGAGATGGCTAAAGGGTGTAAGGGATAATAACATCATGTGTTAACACCCTGGGCCACATTTTATCTGAGGAGTCTAGACTGACTTGACTTTATACAAGGTATAGTAATACAACAGCATAAAACGGCTGCTTTAGTACTGTGTATAGTGTAGAGGAATCACTGTGATGATGACATTAAATCCCAAAAGGCAAGAGACATGTGAATGAACATCTCTGGGGAACATGCCACAGCCAACCCACAAAGATAAAGCTCAGCAAGGCATTGGCATTTTATCCTGACAATTAAAGAATGTTACAGGTGGAGAATATCAGCATTGGGAGACTTAGGGCGGAAAAGGACAGAAAAAAGCGAAAAGAGAAGTTTGTGCCCTTGTTTACCTGCTTCAGCTCCCTCTCCTTGGCCTGGTTGCCACTTGCCCCTTTCTCCCATTCAACCGTATTATTCCCGTGTATTCCAGCGGGCAGCACTGCGCTATCCTGTCTGTCCACAGACAGCTCCAGCTCCAGCAGGTTGAGGGGTGAGCTGCAGCGAGACTGGAACAGGGGTGGGGATGCCAGGCCTCCTCCAGACTGTGGCGTAGAGGAGCGAGACTGGCCCTCCATGGGGGCCTTTGGGGTTGCAGAGGATGGAGGGAAGTAGAATGACGGGGTCGGGAAGCCTCCTTGAGGAGCAAAGTGGTTCTGTGAGTTGAAGGAAGGTGGGGCTGGGAAGGGGACCTGGCCTGGAAAGGTAGCCTGACACAAAGGCTGCGTTTGGGTGGGAAAGCCACCAGTCTCTGCATAGTACACTGGCTGTGGTTGTGGCGGCCCAGGTACCATTGGAGGGTACATGTAGTTGGGCAGAACTAGAGCCACAATGGGGGTGACCATGGGAGCATTGTAGGGAGCAGGATGTATGGATGGCAGGCAGGGAGGGGCCTGGGGGGGCTGGTTGTCCCTAAACCCAGGCAGAGTGGCGTCTGTGCCAGGAGCTACGGAATTGGCTCTGGGGTAAACCTGTAGGGGATAGCCTGGCATCACAGAGGGGTAGGCCATGGCAAAAGTTGACTGCGAGGTGTCAGAGAGAGACCAAGAGGTCGGATTAAGGCCGTGGCTTAGAAGTGGAGGCTTCAGCTGTTGTCTGTGATGGGATACTGTGCTGTCTGAGGACTCTGTCTGCTTCGCTCGCTTTGATTTGGTCTTCTTGTTCCGTGTGCCACGCCGCGTGGTAGGCTCTACGCACCGTCCACCCTGCTTGCAGGATCGAGCAGCAGGTACAGCTAGAGATTAGGGAGGATAAAAAGCATGTGTTGAGTAATTTCTGAATTTAACAAAAGTGATTTTGATTGAAAACGTTTGCCAGTAAGAGGCAAGTATGAGTTAGAGGAAAATTACACTTGATTCATTGCTATTGTTCCTGATTACACTGTACAAACAACTTGAAACCTACTTTGACTGTTTAATATTCATTCATTCTGTGTTCAGATCAGTTCAGTTCAATGAGATAGTGTTTAGATAGTTATTATGTGACGTGTGACATCCATACAACGAAGTCCAATTGAGCAAAAACACAAGATCTTACAGGATGTAAACAAACCAACAGTTTGGCTAAACTATCTCAACATCTTTATTTAGAGTTAAACTCAAAATGTCACTAGTTACATAAAATAATGTTTACAACTGACAGTCTGGATAATAATTACCTACAATAACACTTGCCTTCTATTTCTCTTCCAATTGACTTTGGCTAACTTCTGGGTTTGTTTGAAACCTGTATGATCATCCGATAGCTCGTGTTTTCTTGCCCTGTATGAACTTGTGAGGATTATTATATATATATATATATATATATATATAAAACTACAAAGCAGGCATCCTTTAAAAGGCTTTTGATATGATTTGTCAGTGTGGTGGTCAAAGGTACCATTGCTGGCAAGCTGTCCTCTCTGGCGCTCTAGGTACTGCGAGCAGTTTGCTTTGATTTCTGAGAGTCCGCGAAGCTCTCTGAAGCGATGCAGAAAAGCCTGCTCCTCCTTCTGCGTATGGGCTGCCAAAACCTGCTTGGTCAGTCCCAGTTTCTTGTAGGACTCCCTTTCCTGACTGGGAGCCGAAACAGCATAAGGATGAGCCCAGAGGTTCTGGCTGGATTCTGCAGTCTCTCCTGTTCCCGGGACATCCTCTATGATCTCTGTATGGATGACAGCGGGGAAAGGACTTTAACATACTGTAAATCAATGAAAGGTGGAGTTTTCTATATTATAACCATTAAGCATTTAACAGTGACGACAACAAAAGCGATGTTGATCAAGCATTGTGGCTTGAATTGGAACCTACATCTACACCATTAACAAGAACATAAAAACGCAAGAAACTGACTAAGAATCACATATGGAAACACCCAGCTGTCAGTCACCTGTGGTTGAATGACAAGACTATGAAACAACTGCACAGTTAGACATTGGAGTGTAGCAAACAGATATTATTCACTTACATAGTTATTATGATCATTTGGCCTGAGGCTGGCTCACTCACTGGCTTCAATGTAACAACTGAACAATTTGTAAAGATTTGTTTTGTCGTTCTGTTCGTCACTGCTCATATTTTCCAGGGTGGTGAATGACTGTTTATAGATTGTTTATATCAGAGTAGCCATTGAACAGGCTGCCCTGAATGCAGCTTCTCTGACGCTCACTAACTTGCTGATGCTCGTTGCAGCAGGTTAGCCAACAAGAATACAGCTGTGGGCTTGTACTGACAAAACACTATATAATAAACATGACTTAACTACATGAGACTTGGATTATTATTGCTCTTGCTAATTCTGTCCAGCTTCAATCGCATACAATGCCGTATGTTTGCATTAAAGTTAACCTGGTCATTTGATAAAACTTTTACTGGATACTAACGATGAGACAAACGCAAAACACAATTTATGGATGGCAACTTTCAGTTTTGAATGAAATGACATATAGAGCTGCTAATGAGTTATCTCAGTCTTGGAAGTTTTTAAGATTAAATTGAAACAAATTATTATCACCACCATTGCAGTAATTTTGGACGGGACCCAATAACCCTGCAAATGTTTGTGCACAGAGTAGTAGCTAAAAATGTTATATAGTTGGAAGAGTTGGCAGCTAAGCATCCACCAACAAACTACACACACACACACACACACACACACACACACACACACACACACACACGGCAAATTTACAGTGCTGTGAAAAACCACTTGCCCCCTCTCCTGATTTCTCTCTGGTTTGTGCATATTTGTCACACTGAGTAGTTTCAGACATTCAAAAATACTAAAACAAGTAGCTAATGCTTGAAAATCTACAACTGTGTCTGAGCTAAAGAACTTCCTCAACCTTAAATGAATTTACAGACTATGCCTTTTCAAAGAGGTGATATGGTTTTAAAAAAAACTCTATTCCTTAAATAAATGAAATGTTAAGCTATGTTATTCAGGATCCACCTGTCTAATAGACATTTTGTCTGAAGATCTGAAACCTTTGTATAATAAATATGCAACAATAGAGGAAATCAGGTTGGAAGCAAATACTTTTTAACGGCACTGTACCTGACTCTGGTTGAGGTTTCTTGTCCCCAACATGCACTATGGTGCTACTGTAGCTACACTGGCTGGTTATGGACACCACGCTTTCTGGTTTGTTAGGTACAGGTAGGGGCAGCGAAGTGCCCACTACTGCTGTGGCCGCGTCACTGGACTTTTTGTCTCGAACATCCAAAGCGGAGAGATCAGACTGATCCTTCAACAACGGTGGTTCTGCCAAAGAGAACAGAGAACAAGAGATACTGACAAGGAACTGGCATTGAGTCTGAGAGAGATGTTTAAAGGGCAGAGTGTGAAAGCCTTCAAAGGCCGTAGTTTTGTATAATGAGATGAAAATAAGTTTTTGTTATTCCTTCCATGGTAGGAACTGAAGTGGTGAAACATACCTTCAGATACCTGCATGCTGTTAGATCCTTTCTGTTTGTCATCATCAGAGTTAGAGGAAGTGGTGTTAGAGGAAGACTGGCACTTCCTCTTCATGGTGATGGGAACATTATAGCTCTCCAAGTACCTACAGGAATCATAATGCAGTGATCAGTTTCTGAACTAGTTACAGTTAGTAGGAAACATCACAAAACAAGTGGTGAATTTTGAGACTATTTTCGGTGCGTGACTAGATGGAAACCTTATTTTTGTAGCCTTTCAATTAGTCTCCATGGCTTGCATACTGAAAATGTGTTACAAGGTGGATAACCTATAAACTTTAAGTGTACAAGGCTGGGTATAGGGTCCTATACAGGATAACATCAGTCTTTATCTTTGTACCTGACAACACTGTCCAGACAGCTGATCTGCTGGTAGGAGTAGACTGTCTGATCATTGACGGCCATCTCCTCCTGGAAAGAGGGCCGACTCTCCTCCATAGCGCCACCGGCCTCCCTACAGCTGAGAGGAGTTGCTGATTCTTTGGGCCGCACCACCGCTGGGCTCTTCTGTACAAACTCTACTGGAGGGAGGGCACGAGTGAAGGATGTGGTCGATTGAACAACAAATATGACATTTTCCCTTTAAAGCCACTGCAGGGTTCTTACGGTCTCTGGATTAGACACACTTTCTAAACCATTTATCCACAAATATGCAGGTAGTCATCAGCTGGACTTACTGCCATTGCTTTTCTTGTTGTCTTGTTTGGTTGTGTGCTGCTCCTGGCACTTCTGAAGGTGAACTCCCTTACAGATTTCCTGAAAGGTTCGCTGTGAAAAGGAGAGACAAGACTCAAGAATCAGCACAGCATCTGTCAAAGTATGAGACCCAGCAGTCAGTTGTATCTGATTTTAAATATATTAAATAAACAAATATGTTAGTTTTATAAAGATTCAATAAAAAAACCTCCAGAAATATATAGTTGAAGAAAAAGTATATGAACCCTTTGGACTTACCTGGATTTCTACATAAATTGGTTATAAAATGTGATGTGATTTTCATCTAAGTCACAACAATCGACAAACACAGTCTGCTTAAACTATCTTTCCATGTTTTTATTGAACACACCGTGAAAACAGTCACAGTGCAGAGTGCAAAAAGTATGTGAACCCCTAGACTAATGACTCCAAAAGTTAATTGGAGTCAAGTCAGCCAACCTGAAGTCCATCAATGAGGTGAGATTGGAGGTGTTGGTTAGAGCTGCCCTGCCCCAACACATCAATTTTTATTTTGCTATTCCCATGAAGCACTGCCTGATATGAACCATGCCTCAAAGAAAAGAGCTCTCAGAACACATAAAGGTTAAGAACTGTTGACTTGCATGAAGCTGGAAAGGATTAAAGAAGTATCTCTAAAAGTATTGATGTCCATCAGTCCACAGTAAGACAAACTGTCTATAAATGGAAAAAGTTCAGCACTGTTGCTTCTCTCCCTAGGAGTGGCCATCCTGCAAAGATGACTGCACGTGCACAGCGCAGAATGCTCTGTGAGGTTAAAAAGAATCCTAGAGTGTCAGCTGAAGACTTACAGAAATCTCTGGGACATGCCAACATCTCTGTTGACGACTCTACAATACATAACACTAAACAGCAATGGAGTTCATGGGGAGGACACCACGCAGGAAGCCACTGCTGTCCAAAAAAACCCCAAAACACTGCTGCACGTCAGAAGTTTGCAAAAGAGCGCCTGGAAGTTCCAAAGCACTACCGGCTAATTATTCTGTTGATAGATGAAACCAAAGTCGAGTTGTTTGGAAGGAACACACAACCCTATGTGTGGAGGAAAAAGGCACAGCACACAAACATCAAAACCTCATCCCAACTGTGAAGAAAGGTGGAGGGGTATCATGATTTGAGGCTGCTTTGCTGTCATTGACGGAAAAAGTTATTCCAAAGTTTATCAGGATATTTTGCAGGAGAATGTAAGGCCATCTGTCCGCCAGTTGAAGCTCAACAGGAGATGGGGGATGCAACAGGGTAATGACCCAAAGCACAGAAGTAACTCAACAACAGAATGGCTTCAGCAGAAGAAAATACACCTTCTGGAGTGGCCCAGTCAGAGTCCTGACCTCAGCCCGACTGAGATGCTGTGGCATGACCTCAAGAGAGCGATTCACACCACACATCCCAAGAATATTTCTAAACTGAAACATAGGAAAGATATAATTGTTTGTGTGGTGTTGGTTTAAGCAGACTGTGTTTGTCTATTGTTGTGACTTCAGGTGACATTTTATGACCAATTTATGCAGAAATCCAGGTAATTCCAAAGGGTTGACATACTTTTTCCTGTGACTGTACAAGTGGTTACATTAAGTTCAATATATTAAATTATTTTAATTCTAAAATTTATCCTGCTGTATCTCATAAAAAGCAGGACCATGTGGTCTGGAACACTGTACCATTTAATATATATTAAGTATTTGAGTTTACTCACTGGTCTGGCTTTGCCGCTCACTTCCTCCTCCTCCTGTCGCGTCTTGCTCCTGCTGCCATTGTCAAGGCTCTCGCTAGAGGAGGTCATGCCCAAAAGGTGGTCGTTTCTGTTCAGACTACCATAACCGCTGGATCCACTGTTATGAACCGGCTGACCAGACACAGAGAGAGAAGATTTAAGAAGGAGAGTTAAAAGGCAGAGAGGATGTAGCGCTGCTTAAAATATTTCCAACTATTTCAATCTTTCTTTGGTCTTAAAGTTGCTTTTACAGTCTCCACCCAGTTGTGTTCGGCTATTGACATTTTTGATATGATTTTTGATCATGACTTTTGAAATCCCTCCACTGTTAAAATTAAGATTTGCCTCTCTTACTTGATTAATTTCATTTCACTGCTAGCTTCTATGATTTATCACGGCTTAAATAAACAACCTCTTCTTCTAAAAATCAATCCCGTGTGTCCTGATTTCTGTCCCTCCTCATCCCCTCTCACCTGTAGCAGGAGCCGATGGATCTGCTCAGTAACCTCCTGGATGTCAGAGTCCATGGTCTTCATCTCACTGACAGGGGAGGCCGGGGACACAAACACATCTTCATTCACGGGGCCCCTGATAAACAGAGAAATCAGCGGATCAGCTACTGGTTCATACATGTCTTTCTATGAAACACTGTAATTCCAATTTAGGACGTATATCAGCTTAGATATTACAAGACAGTAACACTCACATGCGCACTTTGTGTCTCCCGATAACAAAGGAGACTTTGCGGCTCCAGGGGTTGACGAAACTGGACCAGCTGGTATCAAGAATGATGTATTCTCCATTTCGCGCACAGAACCGGATGGACGAGTGGTCAAATGGTTGCCCTGCATATTGAAGAACTGCAGAGAAAGCCAAAATAATATAGTCAGATCATGATGGGGATAGATTTCATGTGCAGACACAAGAAATTCCTCCAGCGTCTATTTAAATTCTCTGGACTCACTCTTCCTGTGAATGGCCAACATAATCGGTCGGTCATTGGGATGCAGATGGAGGAGGACTGGGGTGCCAATCAGGTCCTGGGGGAGGTACCCGAGGAGAGGGACCGCTCTGATCCACACAAACCACATGACAAATCAATATTCAGAACTTATAGCTCAGAAATACAAAAACAAACAAACAAAAAAAACATCCCGTTGTGGTTTACCTCTCATCCACATCCTGAAACACACAACTCGGAGTGTGTGTGGTGGTGAAGATGCGTTTGTCTGTTGGAATTCTGGGTGCTTTAAGGAAGAGGAAAGATTTTGATTGTTAGGGTCTATGCTCTCTCAAAAGTAATAAGGAGTAAAAAGTTTAATGCTAATTTTGCATTTCTTTATCTTTACAGGGGATCTAAGGAATGTTTTATACCTTTCAGGTAAACTTTTATTTGGGATGTATAAAAACTGACTTTACTACAACTGCGCACTGAGGGCCTCCATTAAACAAGCAGCCATAAGATATGGAACACATTTTTCGGAGACATGAACTGGCTTATCAATTCTGCAGTCAGGTTCTTACCATCATAACCAGAGTGAACTCTCTCTGCCAGTAGGAGGCAGCAGAACTGGTCTTCAGCATGTACTGTGTCTTGGACCTTCATCAGGTAGGGTGTCATGCGGAACGGATAGTACTGCAGATCGCCCTCACACTTCTTACCACCACTGGAAATTAGTGAGAAGAAAAGTCAAATTAAAACAAATCTAATAAGGATTGCCAATTTATATACTAAGCTTTCACAAATAATCTGTGTCCGGGTTTGTGGTGTTTAGATTTCAAGTGGTTGAACACAAGGGGGAAGTGTTGAGCCATTTCCCCATCTGTGTACAATTAAAGAGGGTTGGGATAAATGTTGTTTGTGTGTTCTTTGATTTCTGCACTTGTGAGTTTTCTAACCTCCAAGGTGATGAGCGCTGTCACTTTTACATCATATGAGTACTAAGATCAGAATGAGTATTTAAGGTTTGTCTTGCGTGAGGATTTGGTGTGAAAGCACAATAAAGTCAATGAAAAGTCCTAACAAGTACAGTAAGGTCTGTGTTTTAATGTGTGTGTGTCTGATTGCCAATATGTATACTACAGACCTGGAAAAAGCATCTGATTATAGTTCAAAAGCATATGATGTCACAAACTAACTGATAAACATCTAGAGTGGAATGAAAGCATGAATAAAAATTACAAAGAGGTACGAGCAGCAGATGGCACAACGCCGTGTTTGAACCAGCACATACCCACCTGATACGACAGAAGAAGGACTTCTCCTGCATGCAGTCAGACGGGGATGACTCTGAAACGGGAAAGGGTAATGTTTTAATTCAAAAGCAACACGATCCGGCCGCAGTGGTAGTCGGGGGCTTGGCTCCCGCAGGCGGTCAAGCATTGATTAATTCCATCAATAAACACTCTCTTGCTTAAATGCAATGAATTTAAACAGAGTCGAGTCTTAACTTAGCACTAGAATATTTGCAGGCATATGGGCGACTAATCACAACAGATAAGTGCAGCTCTGGGTCTCATTTGTAGAAAAAATTTAAGGTAACAGCCCGACTAGTCAATCGGGGCATTATCAGTTAAACTGAAGAGGGAATAATGAGCTCTCCAAGTTGATGAATAAATTACTGAATTATTCAGACTGTGCCCTGGGCAGTTTTAATCATCTGAACTTCTAGTTCAACTAAAAAGCTATCCCACTTTACTTTCCTATTTTAGCTTTAGCATCAGTCTATTTTATCCAGCTTTGTTAAAAGGGGCAAACGTCAGATTACTAAGGTCAGGTTGAACTTTATGCACCAGGTTTATGGCAGCAAGTGCATCAATGACTTGTCGGCAAACAAACTTGCTATCCAGGGATTTCACTTGCAGGCGTTTATTTCTCCAACACATATTCTTATGTAGCCTATGCAAAAGTACTTTCAAGAATATTTATAGACAGAGTGTGAATACTTTTTTCATATCACGGTCATCCTCCTTAACAACTGCTTTGATCAAGGATACCCTCTTGAGCATCAGTGACACTGCAGAGAACTGTGTAGCTATATGTACCTGCTCCAGTGCACATGCTCCAGGAGGGCAGGCGGTAAGGCGTAGTGAAGCTGTAGAACACACTAACATCTTGCGGCGTCAGGAACTCCACAAACTTGGTGTTCTTGAACACGTCTCTTTTGCAGTTGAGGATGGAGGCAGCCTGATCAGAAATGTAGACTATCCTTCCTGTGTTGAGCGACACTGCTACTGCAAAAATGTCCTGTTGAAGAGGCAAAATGAGAATTGTGGGATAAATGAGAAAATCAACTGCTCAGACACAACCAACTAAAGAATTTCTGTTCAAAACCCAACACAAGTATTTTGCAGGTGTTGTTTTAACGAGTATTCAATGACTCACGTTGTTTTTGAGGGTGTATTCAGAAGTGATGCTGTCTATCTCCTCTATCGTATAAGAGGATACATCCAGGCCTGAAGGTTGACTGTCATTGATCATCAGCAGCTGGTAATACTCCTCATTGGCTGCAAGAGACACAGTGATTTTATCAAAGTCTGGTCACAACAAAAAATCCAATACAGAATATAGTGAACGTGGAATATATAAATATTTTAATGTCCATGTCATATTCTGTAACTACTAGACTGTACCTCTACCCACCCATTTCCATCTGTAAACATTTTGACAGGGTAGAATTAAGCATTTACAGACCAGTACCATAAGACCTAACTGCAAAATGTTCCCTCATGTGCCGAATTATGTCTTCATTCAAGAAACAAATTCATGTATTACAAATAATAGCTACATTCATGCATTTACTCATGAATGCATTTACTCATGAATGCATTTACTCATGAATGTGGAAAGAATTTTGAATGTACAGACAGCATAAACAAAAAATATAAATAAACTGCTGTGACCCCGAAACGTTGGTAGTTACACAGACAGAAGACAGACGGAGGGATGTAAACGAGCTTTACCTTCCACCTGTTTGACACAGCGAAGTGCGTACTTGAGGGTGTTCAATGTGGTGGACTTGTTACTGTGTCTCTTCTCAGCGGGCAGGTGACGCTTCAACTCTTTCAGAGTTTTAATCACCTCTTTCTGGGTCTTGGCTTTGGCGGATTCCTGACTACTGCAAGTTGCACATACAGCGGCAAATCAGATATTGCAATAAGGAGAACAGTCCCTTAAAAATAGATGAAATATGTTAATAGAATATATAATGTTTTCAGTGTTAGAGCGGTGGTCGGCACACTAACCTGCAGCCGCTGGTTGACGGGTTGTCCTGCTCTGAGCTCAGCAGACTGAAGGCGTTTGAGCTGCTGGGAGGAGACGGACTGTGGGAGTTCGAGCTGTGTGGGACAGAAACACAACTGAATAATTCAAACCAAAATAAAGCAAAAGAAATTACTTTAATGACCTCAAAGAGAGACAGAGAGAGAGGGAGAGACTCACAATGGATTCTAATTCAGTTTAGATTTGAACTCCCTCAATAAAACAGAATCGGCTTTATTGCCAGGTATGTGAACACATACAAGGAATTTGAATTGTACATTGCTCATGATGTACTTACTTATACAATAATGCTATAATAAAGTACAAAATCAGACACAGGCTACAGTATAGAGAAGACATGTATAAACACATTAAACAAAAACAATATAGAGAGATTGAGAGAGAGAGCAGATGGCAAAGGATGCAGGAGTAAATTATTATTATTATTATTATTATTATGTACATCTTGGAGGTGGATAAGATATACAGGTGCACATACACATACATGCATACAAGTACACAGTGCGATGGAGAATAGTGCAAAGGATGTTGGAATAAATAAGTATTATGTGCAGGTATTATGTACTTGATGTAGGTGGATTTGATATACATACTTTGAAGTAGAGAATAATGAATAAATGAAACCTGTAAATAGGTGGCTGATTAGAGTTACTGGGGCGAGAAAAAGAGAGAGAGAGATCGATCCATGGCATTAACCTACAAGCTTAACACTGCCCTAATAATAATACATTTACTTATAAACACCTTTCAAGACACCCAGGGACACATTACAAATCCACATAACAGCTGTCAATACATAATAAAAGATGGCATACTAAAATAGACCCTCAGAGCCGCTGAATCACCACAACTCAGGTTACTATGAATAACCTGCTTACCTGGCTAAGAATAGAAAACACCTTTACAAATAGCCTCTTCCTGGCACAAGACGGTGTCCAAGTCTATTAAAATAAAACCTTCAGTGCTAAAGAACGCAAATGCTGGTTTTAGACTGGACACACCAAACACGTATTAGAATGAGACTAGGAAATTGTTTAAAATAGTAGGCTAATTGACTGTGTGGTAGTAAGTCTGTGAGGCACCGTACGTGCTCCAACAGGCAGGGGAGCTTCCGTTTTAGTTTCTACTTTGAGGAAAAGGTTTGTCTGCCCAAGGTGAAGATGAGGCCAAGGCTTTGTGAACAGACTTATCATGATGGAGAACAGTCAAAACCAAAGCTTTGTCCCAATTCCATACTGCATACTAATTCTTAGACTATGTTTAACACACACACACACAAATATGCATACTAAAGAAAGTCAGTATGCATAATAAATCCAACACAGCCGCAAAAAATAATAATTAAATTGCTGATGGCCAGGAGACCGCTCCATAAAGATGGACAGTATAAAATCTTTTCATTGGAAACACATTTTGCTTTCTCTTTGTGACGTTTAATTGTCAGTGGCTTCCAAATTGACAAATGTCAGTGCACATATTTAATAATTTCCTGTTAGTATGAAACAGTAAAGTACATTGATTGCAATACAATTAGTAGTATTATACCATTAGTATGTTTGTGTTGAATTGGGACACGACAGAGCATTTAACTAACAATGACTATGACTGCCGTCTGTCTAATGGTTACATTGCAGGGCTTTATTAATCATTGGCACAGCTGATAAAGTATTCAGTTTAAAAAAAAAAAATACAGCTTTAGTTTTATCATCATGCTGTTAAATGCATATAAATTATGTTTTCTACAGCAAATAAAAGTCTTTAATTAGGCCCCTATTTCAGTATCAGTTCAGTTTCCACAGTGCACCAGGCACTTGGTATTTGTTTCCATGCAAAAAAGCAACCCAAATATCAGCAACTAACAGAGTTAAGGCACAGAAAGAAACCCCAAGTTTTAGCTAATTTAATTCAAGGCCAGGAACTGTATATGCCGTAAACATAGTCACATTCAAACAAACAATGGTCAGGCAGTCAACTCAGCTGTGTATGTAGTCCACTGTATTAGCGGACAAGCTCAATTTGAGGCTATTAACAGCTGCGAGATACTGACTCACCTGAGCTCCATCTCATGTTACTATAAATAGCCTGCTTACCTGGCTAAGAGAAAACACCTTTACAAATATTCTCTCCTGGCACAAGAAGGTATCTAAGTGTATCAAATATAACCTTCAGTGCCCAAGAATGCAACAGTTGGTTTTAGACTGGAGACGCATTAGTGTTCACTAGGCTAATTCGCAACGTCCTAGTAAGACCCCATCCACAGTACTCCGTTTTAGTTTACAAACGGAGAATTAAGACGAATAAGATCTCCGTCTAAAACAGCATTTAAACTTCGTTTTAGAATTGATCTCTGTCTTCATTAACGGCGGAAAATAAACTGGGAGTCGTTGCAAAGTAATTACGGCGACATACACAGTACAAGTGTAGGCTGTGTTATCTACACAGTAGATATTTTAATAAAAATACCCTAGTCAGTAGCATTGTGTTTCTACTTTGCATGACTTATGAGACCCAATCAGAGAGCAAAAGTAGTCCTCAAAAAAGAATCCCCTCGTGAGCTTTCGGAGCCACAGTAAAACGCCCTCCGGAGTCTCAAGACAAAAACCGGGGTCGTAGCGTTTTCAAACTTCTCCGTTTTAGGTCTTCGTTTTCGCCGTTTCAGTCTGCATGGAAGGTGCAAACGTTTCAGAAGGTGTGGATGGGGCCTTAGTGAAGAAACAGAGGACTTCAGAAACGATGATGCAAATGCTCAGGCTTGGCTCTCTGATTGGGTCTTATAAGTCAAGCAAAGCAGACACGGTGCTACTGACAGAGTTCTTGACATGGCGTTTTTATTAAATATTCTGTACCGTGCAAATAACTTATCTGCCTACACTTGTACTGTGTATGCCGCTGTTTACTTTGCACCGACTCCCAGTCTGTTTAACGCCACCAGACTGCGTGTTGCATTCAGTAACAGTCCCAGCTCGTTATTGGTGCATGCAAAAAAATCTGGTCTGATTCTTCCTCTGTATTACTTTATTCTTTCGCCAAATCTTCTGTAACTACAGAATAGACCATCTGCTTTCTGTTTACACCGGCACGCGCATGCCCAGTGTGAACGGCCACTAGATGTGCGTTTTAAGTCATTTTAGTATAGACGGAGATCAACTCTGATACGAAGCTAAAACGCTGGTGTGGACGGAGATTGTATTTGTTTTATTTCTCCGTTTTTAAACTAAAAATGAGTAGTGTAGATGGGGCCTAACAGTAGACTGACTGGGTGTTAGAGTGTTGCCATAATTGTCTGATATTTCTGAAGCACAAATGTCACACATGCATCTCACCCAGCTGAGACACCTGACATTGCAAAAGGTGCTCAAGTGACATAATGATAAAAACAAAAAAGTCACTCAATCTCACAAGATGGGGTGTAGTTAAAGTGAGCCTAAAAAAGATCCACTCACTTCTGCCTTTGTGGAAGTGAATGGGGAACAATGTGCACACAGCCAAAGCTCTCATTTAGCAGCCAGGCTACAAAAGAAAGCACGCAGTTCAAAGGTCAGTCTCACCTCCTTGAGGACCTTAAGTGCATCTGTAATGGGCTTATAGCAGGAAAGAGCCAATACAGCAAAAACTAGGTGCCTAAATACAACTAGCTGAAAAGAGCTATCTTGGTGCCCTGAAACAGTAAATATATATCAAGCCTGCTTATTACTGAGTCACTTTCTTGCATTGTCCTCTCTCCCTCTCACTTGTGTATGTTCTTAAATCAACAAGCAGAGCAAAGCAAAGAGAGTCCTTCATCGGTTAAAGCCCAACGTTTGTGCTGCTTATTTTGAAATCTGTCCTGGGTACAAATATAAAACACACTCCGATGGTGTAATTTCCTAAAGTCAATTACTAAAATATAAAATTAATTTGAAAATGAAAATTACGCCCTCCGGAGTTTCAAAACAAAAAACGGGGTCGGCAGCGTTTCCAAACTTCTCTGTTTTACGTCTTCGTTTTCTCCGTTTTAGTCTGGATGGGTGGTGCAAATGTAGCAAAAGGACTCCATTTTAAAATAAACACAGTGTGGATGGGGCCCAAGTCTGTCAGACATGGAAACATGTTACCAAAAGGGAGCTCTCTGTTTTGGTTTCTGCTCTGTGCAGGATGTTTCTCTGTTCAAGGTGAAGATCAGGGCAAGGTGGCCTTGTTTAATTACAAAGCTTCCACTGACAGGGTGTGATTAAATTTGACCTATTATTTCATCAGGTGTGTGTGTGTGTGTGTGTGTATATATGTATATATATATATATATGTATATATATATATATCTCATTACATTTAAGAGGCATGAATAACAGCAAATCAACTGCATATGAATAAGGCAAAGAGGAGCTGCAGTGGGCTTAAAATCTGGTGTGTTAATCAGTGAAAATGAGAAATGCAAAATTGTGTCGACGATTGTTTTGGATGAAAGAGAGTGTTTTTCTACAATATTCACAGAATAAGCCTATAAAATAAGTTGTGTTCTGACAGTGTGTATGTTAACTATTTTGACTAGGAAGCACAGGGACATGAAGCTTGTCAATTTCTCATTTGACAAGAAAAGAAACAATCCAATAAATAGTTTCCTTACTCAAAACTTAGCTGGGCATTGGTAACCTTGCAGAACCTGGTAAGGTTTGTCCTCTCAAGCTCTGTCAAGTTGTATGGGGACTGTAAGTGAAAAGCAAGTTTCAAGTCTGGCCACAACTATTGGACTAAATAGAATTCTGGACTGGGCTTCTCCAGGACACTGTTGTTTTAAAATCAAACCGAATTTGTCAAATTTGCTTTTTCTTAGGGAAAATAAAATGTCCCCGAAGTCTCACTTTTCTCGCAAGCTGTACTCCACATTTCCTTTTGCCCTCTGCTTAGCCTTACAGGACCTTCTGCAGTGAAGCATTCCCTCATTGTTGTTGCTTCTGGCATCATGCAGAGTTTGGACCAAATTTGGTATGGCAGCCAATCAGCTCACTTCTGGTCTCATTAGAGCACCGAACCTTCTTCTCTTCCACTTGCCTTCAAGCAAATGTTAGCACAGATATCATAACAGTGGCTCTCCCTTTGTCACCGGGATCACTTACTGGGACACTTCATGCAACTGATCCATCGTTATTTATACCTGTGCTTCTCCTGTAGTGACAAGGTCAAATGTCGGCTATGAATAAAAAACTATTTTTGGTGATAATGATTTATCACAATAAAAAAAAAAAAAAAAAAAAAAAAAGGCAAATACTTTGTATTTTATATTTGTCCATCCATCGTCAACCACTTATCCTGCGTACAGGGTCGCGGGGGCTGGAGCCAATCCCAGCTGACATCGGGTGAAAGGCAGGGTCGCCAATCCATCGCAGGGCCACACATAGACAAACAACCAGTCACACTCACACTCTCTAGGGTCACCAATTAACCTAGTCCGCATGTCTTTGGACGGACACGGGGAGAACATACAAATTCCACACAAAGGATGGGGCAACCCGTGACCTTCTTGCTGTGAGGCCACAGTGCTATCCACCGGACCACCATGCCACCCATTTCTATATATTAATTTCCACTATGATATCAATCCACTGATTCTTCCACTGCAATTCAATGTTAAAGAATAAAATATGAAACAGTTTTAAAAATCTTTACAGAAGCATTTCGTCCTCCTGTCACTCTGTGCATTCAGAAATGTTGAAACTCATGTTTCTCACAGAGAATGAAAAGACATGAAATCTTCTCTCGTGACTGAGGATGTGATAGCAATCAACCACGCTGTCCAAAATGTGGGACCGTTTCTTTAAGAGGTGCATCGGCCTACATTATTTAACAAATAATACAACCACATTCTCGCTCTCTCTTTGTCTCTCTGTGTCATACAAATGCACAGCTGAGGGCCACAGATGGGTGAAGAGGAAATGGTACTCATGGCAGATGGCCACAGAAGGCACCAAGGTCAAAACAAGTCCCAACCTCCACATGGTGGTTTAATAAACTGAAATGTGTCCATGTCACTTGATGAGTCAAAATATGCCTCTCTTGTTGATTTGGCAGTAGTTTTGTGATTTTCATTTAGTAACCTGTATAATTTGTCTTTTAAACAAGCCGTTTTGGGTGAATGAGATAGAGCAAGAAAGACAGAAAGCAGAGAGTGAGAGAAAGAGGGAAAAAGTTAGAGACACAAATGATAAAACAGAAATATAGAAAGAGAGGGAGAAAGAGTGTAGTTGAAGGAGAGGTTTACCAAAAAAAAATAAAATAAAAAAACAAAGTACAAAAAGGTTAGCAGTTCAATTGAAGAGAGAGGGAGGGGTGCAAAAGTGAAGTGAGAGATGTGAAAAATAGTTAAAGTTATCCTGTCAGAACACGAGAGGGGGAGCTGACCGATGTAAGATACAGGCAGGAAGAGGGAGGGGTTTAAAAAATAAAGATCTGGATTCAAAAGGTCAAGTGAGGTAAGAGAGGCAGGGCTGGAAGTGACGGAGAAAGAACGTGTAAGCACACAACTCTGCTCGCCCCACCCAGTGATAAACACAGACTAAACAATGTGTTGCCATGGCAGTAACAAGGAGTTAGGGAGCATGACACAACGGATCTGGCCTTTAGAGAAAGCAAGCCTCCAGCCTCCCAGATGACATCAATCCATTCTTGCTACTGGGAGCGACAGAACCAGCTATGGTCTCCTCCTTGGCAGACTACATTATGTCTGAACTGCGTTTTGGTCACGCCGCGGTCGCATTCAGGCAGTTGTGGGGAGTTTGGAAAATGTTCTATCATTATGATTCAACCAACATTCAAACCTACCTCTGTAGTGGAGATCATGTGCTGTACACCTACAGACTGAGAGCAAAAGAAGCCAGCCTACAAATGTTCAGCACTGCACAGTTTACTTTAGAATGACTGCGTCACCAACAAGTAGGCTCAACCGGTTTATTCCAAGCTCAGGAAAGTAATGTTTGTGTTGTAGAGCTGGAGAAAAATGAAACCTATTACCATAGAAAATGTATATTTACTGTAGCCAGTACCAGTGTTACATAAAAATTTATGCTGCTTTAAATCCACTGTGAAAAAAAGACTGCAACTAATTATTTTCATTATAGTTTCATCTGCAAATCATTTTCTCTATTAAGAAAATTTCAAAAATGCCCATTATCATCTGCCAGAGCGCAAAACTGCCATATCCATGTTGACTGTTTTTGCCTGACCAACAGTGCAAAATCCCAAGATATTCAGGATCAAATATGACATGAAGAAAAGCAGGAAGATTTGACCAGTAACGCTTTTAAAATGACTTATTTAAGTAGTTGCAGATTAATTTAGGGTTGGCTGAATGAATAGTTTGTTTCAGCTCTAGATAGACTGAAGAAATATTGAAAGGTGGCTCTACAGATAAACGTACCCACTAATGACCACTAGGTTCTGCTATCACAACTGTTTAGTGGGTGCACTCTTATCTAAATACTTGTATACTATATATATGCAGCATTATGATAACCACCCAGCCCTAGTGTGTAACAAGTAACATAAATGGTCTACCACACATTTGAGATGGGGCAGGTAATAAAAGATTTTTCTTCTTCAGTAAGTGAGCGAGTGTCTGTCTGGTCATGGGATACAGTTTATAGTGTCTCTAAACCTACAAAGATCTGACCGATAAGATCAATGTGTCAGACTTACCAAGATAAAGATACAAACTGAATTTTGTACCAAGCACTTCATAAAACCCAACCACCACCTGCCTCTACCAGAAGCAAAATATAAGCAACTTGAACATGAGCTGGCAAGAGATATGGTTTAGGGACAGAAAACATTGTTGCGGTAAAATGGAATTAAGTGGAACTCACTGTCCTTTGTTCAACATTTTATTTTTGGCCAAACAACATGTCTGTCATGTATAGGAAGTGCTCGGCTGGCAAGAAAAAAGTAATAGAAAGCAATACAATTTCATATCTATTAATATTTTTAAGTTTTGTGGGGAGAACTCATGGTCAGAGGAAAACGATGGAACAAGTTCACTTATGTTTCAAACTGGTTGGCCAATCTCTGCAACCTTGGCTCACTCATCTACTGACATTAGTCAGCACTGACAAACACATCCGCTGCTGATGGTTGTATTCATTACGACCAGATTCACTAGCAAGGACCACAATCAACAGATATGATTAAATTATTTATTGAGTAACGAACAGAAGATGTATGAAGCTTGCAGTAGCTGAATAGACACTAGAAAGCGTTGTGGGGAAGTTACGATAGGGAAATTCGCCGTAGCACCTCGGCACGACGGACCCCCTATAAACCTATGGAGAGGAGGAAGGAGATCAGGAGGCAGGACAGAGAAAGGGGTGGGAGTGTTTTATCTTGAAAAAGATTGATTTGTTGTCACAGAAGAGTGCCGACCAGACCACACATCACTGGATACAGGGAGGATTCCTGTACAGCCTGCTAATAAGAATAGGAAGGGGAGGACTTAGGACGTGTGGGTATTTATGGAAATGCTGGCGATGACGTTTTTGATGTGTGGTCCCGCTCCTGAAACTCTGCTAATTAGCACCACCTATGGAGGTGGCAGGCAAAGAGGACATGATTTTTCATCTTTTATGCCTTAAAAGACATCCGTCTATATATGAAAATGTCAAGGTTAACGATTAGGGCAAAAAGAAGAGACGTGAGGTTCAGCATAACTTCCAGCAAAGTAATTTGAAATGAACAAAACATTGTTTTTTCTTTCACTTAATTGTGTTTATCAGGGTTTGGATAGACATTTACATATGACCCATTTTTGTCAGCCTATGACTGCTGCGATTTGGATTTCTTTGTTGTTTCTATCCTTTCTGCTGACCTGCTGGTTGATGCATGGCTTCGCATCACAATCACTGCATATATCCCTGCATATGTAATGCTTTATACTGCTTCTGTGCTTAAGGGTGCTTAATGATTGTGTGGCTGAATCACAAACCTTATTTTACATCCAGCTTACAACCACAACACGGACAGTGCGACCTGTCAGCCATGTAAACCCTATTTAATATATCCTGCTGCTGACTCCTCTTTCTGACAGCTGACCAGTTTTGGAACTGGGCAGCTCAGGAGTGTTTTATCTTGAAAAAGATTGATTTGTTGTCACAGAAGAGTGCTGACAAAGACCACACATCACTGGATACAGGGAGGATTCCTGTACAGCTTGCTAATAAGAACAGGAGCTCCCCACTCGAGTATCACAACCACAGTAAGCTCGAGAAAAACTGGCTTAATAATGGCGACATCATTCCCACAACCACCACTGACCTCTTGTTGCTTTCAGAAGACTCCAGCAGGGCCGAGTCTTTACTGTTGCCATTGGAGCTGCCTACTGACTCATGGCCGTGGCTCTCATTGCCATGACTCTCGTTGCCGTTGCTCTCATTGCTGTGCGATTCGGTTCCACTCCCGCTGGACCCACTGCTCTTCATCTCCACGTCCTCATCGGGGTGCGATCGGGAGCGGGCATTCTTGCGATGGCTGTGCGGTGAGGCAGCAGGGTCCTGACCGCTGCTGTCGCTACCCTCTGAGGGGAGGCCTAGGTCAGGCCCACCTTGGCTGTAGCCACCCATTCGGTGCAGCTGTGCCATGGAGCTGCACCCTGAGACCCCCCTTGGCGTGGAGCTGCATGAGGTGGACACTCTGCACCCCGAGACTCCATCCTCATCCTCTAGCACAGGGAAGCGGTAGGGCTTGGAGTCTGAATCGTCTGACATTAGGAGGAGCGTTGCCCTGGGTTTTTTCCAGGTTAGTTAAACAGATGAGGAAAGAACACAATCACCCCATTTTCACAAGGGTGGTGCTGGAGAGAATCAAAGTTTGATCTGTAGAGAGAAGGAGATTATACATGTTAGTAATGAAGTAATGCTCATCCATTACAAGTTCAAGTAAAAAATATTTAGATAACATACAATTGAGCAGACATATGGTGGAATCCTCTGCCTGGACAGGTGACAGAACGTTGCCTGAAACAAATCACCTATGTCAAGTAAGTTTCAAGAGCATTTTAATGCCCTACTGACATGAACTGAATTCAGTGGCCGCCTGGAGGACAGGAACCCAATCTTAACTTTACAGCACACATTTGACGCAGGTCAACAATATGCAAGGTATACATGACTTGTGTTACATTAGTTGAGGTATGCAGCAACACTGGCATGGTTCCTGTATTAACTTACTATTAACTTGCAAGCACACACACACAATCATGCACACAGTTCAAAAATCTTTTCTCGAGACATAAATCAATGCTTCACTTATCCTCCTTCAAAAAGGTGTCTTTTGTCTGGTGTGATAGAGAACATAGCAGGGTTAACCCCTGGCCCTGCAGGTGCCTCTCAGTGAAACACAGTACAGTGAAAATACCCTCTTGTGCAGACAGTGTGGCCTTTTAGAACAGTGGGTCTGTCCCATCTGAGCCCTGCAACCCTTTCAAAGGATCATCCACCCTGGGACACAAAACACCAGACTGCGTTTATCTGAATGCCACCATAGGTTACCAGCCAACAGTGTGGAACTTTGGTCCTGTTTTCTGAAGGCATGTGGTGCAGCAAGCAGGATTTTATACACAGTCCTGTACAAAACTAGTGTCATCTCAGAAAATGAAGCTAATTAAATGCCAGATTTCAGCATATGAGAAAGAGGCATGCGTGTCTGGGCAGATCTTTCCTAGAAAATCTTCTCTGGTTACAGGAAGAAACATCCATTTCTATTTTGGGAACATCAACAGTGGCATGTTTGGAATAAACACAAGGAAAACTGGGAAGTAACCACAATCAGAGAAACAAATGCAAATGTTTTCTACGTAATTTTCAGCAGCGGAAATGTACAAGGGGAAATACAGTTATAAAAATGCTACAATGACCAACGACCATGTATTCATGATTTTGGTTAATGACAAGCTAAGGGACAATGGAAGCAACAGTTTCCAAGAGAATTAGTTAAATAGAATATATCTGACAAGAAGCATTATTGAGAGTTACATATATTAAAGTGCAAAAACAGTCTCGATGAGATGAAAAAGTAGAGCTGCTTCAGCCCACTAATGATGTAGAATTAGGCTAATTATACCATAGTGATGTAATGTAACCCACGATTCATGATTGTCTCTTCTTCCGTCTCGCCATTGAAGTCACCAAATTGAACTGTTTGAATTTAGCTATACAAACATCAGTCTGACATGTTAATTATGGTTAAACTTGGGATTTAGAGCACAGGGGGAAAAAGCCGTATCTCCTGTTTATAATCCTTTTTCTAGGCAACAAGTTAGAGTCACATTCAAAGCCATAAGCCCAGGTGTCCATGTATAACCCTCCAGCTTTGTTTTCTAGGGATAACCTGATTAAGCGGTGGCATGACTTCCTCTCTGCCCTGCAATGGAAAAATGTCTATTTTCTCCTCTGACGGAAGACACATGCCTTGCTTAATTCACCTGAGCTCTGTGGGGGTATGTAGCTGTGAATATTTAGTCTAACCAAGTTAGTCTTAAGTGTCAGGCCCATGCAAGCACAAGCATTGTATATGGAGGGTTTTCTTAGTGTGACTCATGAGCCTGATGGAGTTGCCGTATGTCGAAATGTTTAAAAGGTCACCATGCTACTGAGTGAACTGGGTCGACATACAGTGAAATGACAGACAACCAAGAAGAAATAAGTGAGCCACCAGGGTTCTGAAGTTCAGAGACCACTTGGTAAAATGAACTGGAGCAGTGAGTTTAGCAATGACTTGTCTTCTGTGCAAAGTGCAGCGATGTAGTTAAACTATTTTCTGCAGAACAAGAACAAGCCTCCTATTATTCGTAGTGGACCACCTGACTACGAGATATTACAGCCAACATACTGTGCATGCTGAACATTGTGCACAAACTTCTACTAGCTACTCAAAGTGTGGTCCAAAGTTAAATAGCTGACTGAAGTCCGTGACTTCACACTAGTTAACAACTGCTAGACATTCACCTCATTAGCTCATTATCACGCCAAATCTGTTGGCTCGATACCAGCAGACAGTCAGCGCGAGAGAGATAAAGAGAAAGTGAGGCTATCTAAACATGGACGGTGACCAGATACAAGCTCATTTAGCAATTTAGACAGGGCAGATAGGTAGGACATACACTTCCTCCTCTAGAAATATTCTTCCCTTTGGGCATCATCCTTCAATGAAATGTGGAGTGTAAGCAATTTCTGTACCTACATTAGTACATTTTAATACTGTCACAGGTGAGAGAACAACATTCCCATCACTTGTATGTAGTTCTGTCAAAAGCCAGGTGCTCTGTATTAAGTGTCTAACAGATTTGATGTTTAAAGCTACAATTTAGTGGCACAGATAAAAAAAATAAAAAATAAAAAAAAAAGAGCAAGAAAGGTTAAGTAAATGTATGCATTTTTCTTTCGCAGCCTTGTTTCATAGCAATAACAATGCACTGAATTCAGAAAGAAAGAGTGAGTTAAAGAAAAATACACATGGAAGGCAGATGTTAAAAAAAAAAAAAAAAAAAAAAAAAGAAGGGATGTGTGCCGCTGCAGGCCAACAGGGTTGGCTTGTTTGACCGTACGTGCACTCAGAATGGAAAATCAAATACTTACTCTTACTGAGGTGATTTATTATACTTCATTTCTAGAGTTTACTCAGAATGAAGCAGTCGTTCAAATAATCACTTGCTTAAAAGATAACTAATAAGAACAGTCAATAAATGGCATACAATATCAGTCAATAACATTTACTTTTTTCTAACCACCTGTTCACCATTTGATAATAGTCTATAAATGTCCAGTGCGCCTGCAGTAAGGGTTACCTGAGGCGACTTCAACGATCAATGCGATTATTCTCTTTTTCACAGTCATTAACCAAATCTATTTCATCCTGTTGAGCTGCTGCAGGGTGGGAAATGGAGGAGAATAATGTGGACTTCCTTCTTCCCCGCTAGGAAACCAATCAGCATTCTAAACTGAGTTACAGCACAGGGAGCTTAATGCGTACTCTCCTCTAGCATGGGACACTGCTGTATGTCACATCTTTCACTGGTTTTACATGATGTATAAACACATGCCATGAAACATTCAAATGCCGAGTTATGAAGCTTTCTTGTCAAAGTGCACAGACTGGTAGCAGGTCTAGGTAGCAGTTACATCCACCACCGAGGTAGGTACAACGAGGAACAGGTGGCAAACAAGGCAAGATGAGAAACATAACTCAATTACAGGTTTTATATCACTGTTCTCAGCCCTTTTAGTCATTTTAATGCAATCAAAAGGCTATCAAGGGATGAAACAGAATGTTGACCTGTGGGGAACATGCTGCTCACTTGGCCTTTCTGAATCTGAGGGGACTTCAACAGAGATAATTTAAAATAAATCACTTAATCATTGGGGAAAAAAAAAAAAAGGATAGAATACTCCATTCAGACATGGTTTGACACCATTAAAGCTAAGGCTGTAATCGGGGAGGGAAATTTAAATTTGATTATGTTGTTAGGTCTTGCCAACAACATAATCTGTTTTCTTAAACAGTTGGATTGAGAGCCTTTCTCACAAGCTTCTTCTGCCTCATTCTTATTTTCCAACTTGTTGCTGTTCTCAGTGCTCAACCATTAACACCCAGTCATAAATGCAGCCTATAAATGTAGGGGTTTAGTTTCATGTAAATCCTATTTAGCTTAAAAAATAAAAAGACTGGTAAAGAGAAGGTTTCAAACGGTTCAAAAGTTTTAAAAACAACTCCCTCTCTAGCTATAATTTCTTTTCATAACACTTGACTCTATGATGTGTTCTACCCTGCTCACTATTTGATTTTTTTGTAATTCATCTTTTCCAGAGGAAATCTTCGGACAGATCATTTCTACCAAATAAAAGACGTTCTCAGAATTCATTTATACATACAGGCTACTACCCAATCATCAAATTAATTGTATGAAAATCAACATCCACATAAGATATTCACATTGCAATGCTCTGATCTTATCGTCTAATGTGTCAGCTCAAACCATCTTAAACAACCACACAGGAGCAGTTTCATAACTAAGACTCATGCTGGAGGCATTCATTTTATTAATTACGTTGTATAGTCACTATATTGTACAATTGACTCAATTTGCATGAGGACTTGCATAAGTTTACAGTGGGTGGGTTCAGATAAAGTACCAAAATGAACACATATAGCTATTATAATAAATATATAATAATTATTATTGCAGGCTAAAAAGAGTTGCTTACCCCAAAACAACTGCAACACGTGATGATCAAGTTTCATTCACTGAGATGCAGTTGAAAGCAAAGTTAGAAAGTGAATCTTGACCATAGATCAATGGCTTTAAAAACTCTGATCAGGGCTGGATATTACATTTCAATAGCCTACCAAAGGTTAGCATTGAAGCTTTATAAAATTTTCAGTCTCCATTATTCAATATCTTAGACTGATTTAACCCATAACCAAGTCTCTGAAAGGATTTTAAGTGTGTATATTTGCAAATCCATTATTGACCATCAGCATGTAATCTGGTGTTTTATCAGTCTATTGCTGCACTCCTAGATATGTTATTCTTTTTGCTACTTTAAAGCGATTTCTAACAGTAAATTATTTTTTTTGTGTGTATGCAATAGTCCAAACTTTAAGGAAACAAGCGCTGCAAGTTTTTTCACATGCATAACTGGTTGCTCTATGGAGTGGTTTCCTCATTCGCTGACCTACATCTATCCTCAATGATGGTGCTGTTAAATTAAAAAGTTCCATGTTTCAATGGTAAATACTAAAATGTTTTACTAAGACGATTAAAGGCAAAATGCTATTTCATTGTGTCACTTTTAACACATCCCAGCAACATTTATAT